CCGCGCCGCCTTTCTCTGCCGACTCATGGCGGCGGCGGGGCCGGGGGCCGCGGCCGAGCGCGGCTCTGCCCGGCGCGGTCGCTGCCCCGGGCTGGGGGCACGGCTGGGGACGGGGGGGTCCCCGAAAAGGGAAGTGGAGGGGCTGCGCTGTCCAAACCGCGCTTGTAACCCGCTGCTGTCGTCAGCAAAGGCTGGAGCTGCAGAGCTCCATTTCCTCGCCTGTCGGGATGGGTGTTGAGCTCCTCTCGTACCTGCTTCAAGTGAATCGGGAGTAGGAGAAAAGCACAGAAGTTTTCACTAGGCGTCTTGTTTGGGAAAGACTTAATCTTTTTCTACCTGTCTGTTAGCTCTGAGATCACGCTGCCAGATGATTCCCAGTTACTGTACGTGCCAGTGTTTTGTAAGAACTGTTACTACCTAGCATGGTGATTCATCAGAGTTATTGATCTTGGGAGATGGACAGCTCTGCAATTTCCACCTGGAAAGCTGTCATCTTAATGAGAAGTATAGAGGACAAGTTAATCGTGCCAGGTAGAACTCTCTGTTTGGATTGTTTGGTGGTTTGTCATTGTAGTCATGGACATAAGCAAAGCTTAAGGAAATCCAGGACAACGTTGCTGTCTGCATTCCCCTCGTGCCTTATGACACAAAACCGGTCGCATTGCTCCTTTGTGTGAAGGTTGCACTCTATTGTGATGCCTTCTGAGATAACGATCCCGAGAAAAAAACCCCAAAAATGCAAAACTGCAAGATTGAGTGTTCCTGTGTGAGGAGTGTCCAGATTCACTGCCAGCCTCATCGCTTGCAAAGGTGTGTGATTTGTCAGAGTCAGCAGCGACGAGGCAGCTGCCCAACACAAACAGGGGGCCCTTGCAACTCCTGGGATGATTATTTGAGGGAGAGAGTGAGGGTGTGTCATTAGCGTGTCCACGCAGTTGTAGGGTAAGGGACTAATGCTGCAACACTCAGAATTGTCCTTGTGCCCAGCACAGTTGTCTGTGTATTCCCAAAGGTGTTTAAAAAATGGAATTTGTTTGTGGTGTGTTCTGGGACGCTTGGCAGCAGCGACTGGTTCCAGCAGTGCCCCAGTGCCTGGCTCTCCTCTCTTGGGCCATTGTTTCTTTTGCTGCGTGTTCATTAGCAGAAGAGAACGTGTAAAACAAACACGGCTGGTGAGCTCCCACGAGAAGCAGGCTGGCAGCTGACCTTGCCTGGCAGCCCTGCACCCGGGTACCTTCTTGTAGAGTTTGCAGGCTCATGTTGTGTCTCCATTTCATTGGGTGGATGGTTTGTTTTGGCAGGCACTTGCCAAAAAAAGATCTGGAGCGTGAATTTGTGTGAAAGAATCAGCTGGTGAGGTGAGTTGTCGTGTTGTGGTGTTGCAGTGACCTCCAGGAGGATCACCCAGGGAAAGCGACTCTTTCTATGCTTGAAGTGGATTGAGAGCTTCTGAACTCTGGAAAGTCACTACTGGATGTCTTTGGTTTCTCAGCAGAGTTTACAAGGCCTTTGCTCATAATCCAGCAGTGTTCCCAGTGCAGTGCTTGTGTGCTGGAGATACTGAATGTTTCCAGCCCTGATCCACCAGAGGTAGTGAGGAGACCAGAGAGCGTAGTGCAGACAGCTCTGGAAAGATAAAGGGATCCTCTATGACTTGTTTTACAGGCTTTGAAAGCCTTAATTTTTTTATGATGGTTATATTAATTATAGAGCCATAGAGCAGATTTAATGGACAAGACCTCCTTAGGTGTCCACGGATTCTGTAATGGCCTGCGTTGGAATTGGTGCTTATAAAAGTAAAAGCATTGTGCTCAGGGAAAACAGCCACCTGCAAGATCTTGGTGAGTTTCTGCTGTCTGTGTTGGAGTATGGATAGGGAAGAGCTTAACAAATCCACCTCCAGGTGGTCAAAACACCAGCTTGTTTTGAACTGTTTGACTTGCCACAGCTGGGCTAGTTGAGTGCTTTTGGGGCATGACACAGGGACTGAAGCACAGGATCGTTTTTTCATGGATTGGGATTTACCTTTAGAAGCTTGTGCCTTGCCTGCCTGCTGCAGTATTTTTATGCTCAAAGTTGTCAGTGAAGCCTGTAATATAATAGGATGTTCAGCAAACCTTACTGCTTTTTCAGGAAGGAGGGCTCTTGAAGTGAAGCCTCTCCTTGCTTCTTAACCTCCCAAAAGCACAATGGCTTGGCAGTAAGTGGGGCAACCATCAGGTCGAGGTAGACGCCAGTGATACTGCTGATGCTGTGAGTGGAGGAGGCTGAGGCTCTTCTGGAGTGGCACACCAGAAAATTTTCACGGTCTCTTGACAAGATGCCCTTTACCTTTTTATTTGTGTGTTTCAGTCAGAGGGAAGAGAGGATCCTTTTGAATCCTGAGGTACACATGGTCCTGTCCCATGTGGCAGTGCTTGTACTTGACACTGCCGACTGCTTGTGAGGGACGCTGCAGAGCTGTAATGATGCCTCGTTTTTACTCTCTAATGATCTAGTAGCAAGGTCTGTGTGACCATGCCCTCGTTATTACATGTTCTCTTCTTATCATGTAAATAAATGCAGCCGGCAGCCTGACTGACACATGATGGTAGTGTATGTGTGTCTGTGCTAGTGAAGGAAACGTTTTCTGGCAAAACCAGCTTTGCACTACTGGCTACAAATCAAATTCAAAGTGTTTTCTTCAGTTCTTCTGTAGATGAGAAGTGTGGCTTGCAGTTAAAACAGCTCGACCTTCTGGAACATGTTGTACTCCTCCGCTGTGCCCTGCACCAGGGCTGATGCTGATGCAAGCCTTGGTGCGGACAGGTGTTAACAGCACCCCGTTTTGAAAACCTGCTGGATGTATTTCAAGAAATGTTGCATCAAGGCACTTGGCACTTCTTTATTTTTAAAGCCATTTACATCTTGGAAGTAAGAACATGCAGGTTTTAATGACTGGCGCGGCAATTGCTCAGCTTTTCCTGGGCTAACTTTTAAAATTCTCCTTGTAAGTGCTTGGCAAGGGAAAGCGGTGTATTTCCTAGTGGAGATGCAGAAGGTACTTTGATTTCTTGAGTAGAGTTTCCTGCATGCTGTTTGGCAAACGTGCTGGGTGGATAAGCAGTACTTTCCAGAAGGCACACCTTAGTTGCTAGTAGCAAGCACCAGGGGTGAGCTGACTGTTGTTGAGAGTGCGTGTTGCTTTGTGCCTGAGCAGAGTCTGACTTGGCTACTGGTACTGAGGAGGCAGGGGAAGATTCATTAGCATCTCAGCCCTTGCTGACTAACTCCCCATAGGGCTTTCCTTGAAATCAGCCTCCATTGCAGGAGATAAGGTGGATGGGAAGCTTGTTTTACCATTGGCATTTCTTCGTGTTCGGAGTAGACACACACATCTGCTTGCTCAGGTATCCAGCTTGGTAGTCCTGCACACACCTATTTCCAAAGTGTTGGGCAATTCTCACTCTGTCGTGGCATGTAGTTTTGGAGCTCTTCTGGCTGTTGCAACAGAGCTGCTATCGCAGCAGGAGGCCTCCCCTCCACCACCCCAAGTTTCCTCTCCAAACTCCTGTTCTGTTCCAATCCCACAACTCACATTTGAGTAACTCTTCCCATCTTGTTGGGGAGGATGAGGGTAACTGGAACTTGTTGCTCTAAAAAAACTGTGAGGCTTAGCGTTTTCCCTCCCCCACATACCTTTGCCCTTCAGCTTTGTGCTGGACCTTTGCCCTGTTCTGCACTGTTTGTTTCGGGCAGAGAAGGCTGGGGAATGCAGAGCAGCTCCTGGGAGCTGACTCACTGGCCCTGGTTTGGTTGCTGGGCTTCAGTGCCTGCTTCTGCTGCGACCTCCACTTCCAGATTGC